CATCAGTAGTGGATAACCTTTTTGCCATTGAGGAGGGTACTATTAAATAGTGCCCGGAATCAGGATAGAAGTACATTTCGCGCACGTTAAGTGTTTCTTCATTTTACCAAGTTCTTTACGTCTCTCAGGGTTGATGTTTACTCTTTACATATAATAAGTCCTTCGCTGCATGCACATACCAAGGTATCCACTGCTTAAGCGTGCAGTTTACTATTAGTTTGCCTGGCGGCGGTGAAGGATGAAAAGTGGTTGTGTGCATGTATGGTTATGCCGTAGTTCAATGCACATCTCAAATGAGATCCTCAAAAGCTCTGTTCTGATCTTTTCAGCTCAATTTGAGAGTCTCAACAGATTATTCTCACTTCTGAATTGGCCTTCGCCCGCACAACTCTCAGCCTGGCATCGCTCCTTCGTCCAAGATGAACTTCGGAAGGTTATTCGTTCTGGCCGCTGCTGTACTGACCAACTACTCCACAGCTGCCTCAAATGAGACTGCCTCCCCCACGAAATTCCCAATTTATAATGGGAGACCAAACAACGGTGGTTACCCGTACCCCGCCCCCACACCGCAAGCAACAACACCAGAGACTCGTGGACCATACTATTATGGACGTCCTAATGGTGGTGGGTATCCGTACCCCGCCCCCACACCGCAAGCAACAACACCAGAGACGCGTGGACCATACTATTATGGACGTCCTAATGGTGGCGGGTATCCGTACCCTGCCCCCACACCGCAAGCAACAACACCAGAGACGCGTGGACCATACTATTATGGACGTCCTAATGGTGGCGGGTACCCGGAGCCAGCCTCCAGTCCGTAGGACCCTGAAGACAACCACTGAACCAGAAACAAAGTTTAGAGCGAAATGATTCTTGGAAGGATACACACTCAGTACACCGGCACATTCCCATCAATTGAAACTCTGGATTTTATCGCAAGGCCAAATCTTGCATTGCCTCATGCGTCCAACTGTTCGATTATATTTGTTTTGTTCTAGATAGATCAACCGAGTTTCTTCGCGCAACATTGAGGGGTGCCTGGGTTGTAATATTACATGGCCTACCACAAGCACCATTCACCGTTGCCCACGGGCT